CCCCCCAAAGTTCAGCTGGTTTGCAACCAGTTCGGTGGATCGCGAAGAGAGAAAAAGGGAAAGGACAAAAAGGGGAAGGAAGGGGGGGAGGGGGAAAGAGAAGAGGAGAAAGGGTCTATTGTGTCTTTCAATGACAATCGCCGTGGCCGACGGACATTTGATCGAATCAATCGATTGGTTTCTATATGGTTCTTCTAAACACAGCCGGGACGAGGGAGAAACGCTAAGAGAAAGAGAGGGATCGGAATGAAAGAAAGAGGGAAGAGGGAGGAAAGTGTAGGCGGTACAGACTCTCTGGAGTGCCAGACGGTGCACGACTGGAGGAATGGAGTGGTAGAGAAAACGGGAGAGAGAGAAGCTGTTAGGAGCGAGGAAGGGACTCGGGAATATCCAGTAGCTCCGGGCTCATTTGAATCCGACGCTCAATAATGTCCCTCAGGAGTACCGAAATATCTCAATATGTGTATATAACGTCGTGCGGCGGCGTGGCTTACGATCTCCGGCGATATTTGCTTCGGCGACGTCATCCATCAAGGTCGCATAATACAATTCGTCGGGATCCTCGGATATGCAGAGAAGCCTCCCTTCCCCCATATAAGAATTCTCAGTGAGACGAATAACGATTCGAGATGAGTTCATGAATGAGCACTTAAGAATTTTTCACGAGAAACTTGCGCTGTCATTAATAGCTTATGTTGCAAAAATATATGCGTGAAAATATGCGTGAAAACGTATTTGGCCAAATCTTCTCTAATTAGGAATGCGCCTCGAGAAATTACAGATCTTGATTTAAAATCCGAAAAACACGAAAGTGTATATTCCGTCGGATTCCAAGAGGAATATAGAAAAATATTCCGCCCGTATGGTAACACGATAAAGTGTCCCGAGGACGCTATTGGCGGGGCTCGGCTCGCCCCGGTAGCAAACGGGGAAGTCACAGGCAAAGAGCAACATTCGCCTGGAGGGATGGATTTTCCTGTCAGAGGTGGAGTTTAGAGGTCGGGAAATTAGTTTAGTTATGCGCCCGGCAGGGACGTCTCTTACGTTTCCACTACCGACGTAAGACCTCGGCGGAGCACGTACATGTTCTAGGGCTCTCCTCCTCTCTGCCCTCTCTCTCTCTCTCTCTCTCTCTCTCTCCTCCTCTCTGCCCTCCCTCTCTCTCTCTCTCTCTCTCTCTGCACACTCCGTGCGACTCTCCCTCTCTCTCTTTTATTCCTCGCAAACTTCCTCGAGTTTTCTCTCCAACCCTCTCCCGCCGCTTTCCTCTCACGAATTCCGAAGAATCGAGCCGGCTAGCGGCCTTCGAAGAATCAAGCTGGGGGAGAGAATTTTCCGGAGTGAGAACAAATCGAGCGAAGGAGAGAGTCTTCAAGTACGAAGTAGCATTGAGGACTGTTGCTACTTACTACTCCGGAACAGCTGGCTGACGAAGACGTCATTGACTCAAGATCCTCTTCTTTCTCTTTCTCTCTCTTTTCCTCTCTTTCGCGTGCGCGTGCGGATTCTCCTGACTATCGAGCGATCTTAAACGCGCTCGTTATAAGTGCCGCTTTGTTCGTTGCGCCGCGCTCGAGTGCCATTTGAAATTTAAAACGTTAACGGAGTACTCTGAATGGCAAAAACTAAGTTCCGTTCGCTGTGTCGATTTAATCTCGCGGCAAAGTATATTTCAGGTACTTCTGACAGATGAGTATCTGCGCCGAGTGCAGATAGAGTGGAAAACATGTGAGATTCATACTCGCATTGAAATTAAACGGTTAACATTGAAGTTAAAAGGTTAAAATCGAAATTTGTTGAATAATGTGAAGTAACGCTTATATCTCAAATGTCTTTATAAATCTCATTCTCGCGACTTCTCGAACATCTTTATATCAATCAAATCGTCTAAATTTATTTAACTAATTTTACATTTTCTAAATTCGTTTAATAAAATATCTAATAAATAATCGGAGATGTTTGTCTCTATTTTTAATTTTATATCGACTTACTTGAGAATCTTCCTCGGTGAAGATGGCGTCGAACGCGAACATTTTCGGCGCCGCCACGGTAGGCCGTCGATCTTCTGCCGACGAAGATTGCCCGGATGCTGGGTCCACTAATGTAACTTGCTTCTTGCGCTTATCCGCATTGAAGAAGCTACCTCCGTCTCCGGGTGACACCCTCAGCATTACTTTCACCTGAAATAGCATAGAGTGGATGCAATTTAATTTAATTTCTATTAATATCAACAGTAGGATTTTAAATTGATTAGACGTTAAATCTGATACACGATATGTCAACAAAATTATTCAAACTTATATTCAACGATATAATACATTATATAACTATTGCATCTTTTAAAATTAAAAAAAATTATGTAAAAAGATGTATATTTTGATTTTGCTGTTATTCTTTTGGTGGATATCATGAAATATATAGCAATCCCGTTTTAGCAAAATTAATCGTATTATTCCAGCATTGCCAGCGTAAATATAACTCTTCAACCGTGATTGCGAAACGTTACTGTAGTTAACGATAAACTCGTTAATTATTGTGAAATTGAATTAGTTTTGGAATCTGCCAATTTGGACAGGCAGCAGATTACATTTGGCGACTAAAGATAAAGCTTTCCCGTCACTTAAACGCTCGACGAATCCGTTTCAATGGGTTAATATTACATAATAAATTAGCTCCGCTCTTGCGTCGAATAATGCGCCCATCAAAATTATCTGATAGACAGTTTCTACTGACAAGTGAACGTCTAAAATTACTTTGACCCACGTTAACCGATCGGTCATTGAACGAGTCGCGATACTTATTGAATGCACATTATATATGACGCAGAATTGTTGAAACAAAATTACATTTAGTAAAACGATCACAGTTGTACCTTCAATGACATCTCTGCCGATTATTTTATGTAGGTGCCATAATTAATGTATTGTAATATGTATAATTAGTATGTATAGAAATAATAACGGGATAATGTGTGTAATATTTCATTATTATACGCACGAGATTATGTCAATTATATAATGTACAACTATATTTCACACGGCACGCACAAATTTAATTGAGACTTTTGTGTTGCTTTTTGCGTTGTTTTTCAGTCACTGTTATTAATTATAAATTGTACATACGAATATATATGAATACATATAACTCTTTACATCGATTTAATATAAAGAGTTAATTTTAACGGCATGAATTTCAAGAGTTAATTGATCATCAGTTATAAAAATCAATTAACAATTATGGCTTAAAAATGTCGAATGCATGACATTGAATTACGATATTCGAGCCGCAATGGACGCCGAGTAATGTGATAGCGGAGAAACGCGTGTATCCAAATACGCGAGAAGATATTTGCCGGCCACTCGTGAAATCGAATATTGCTCACAAATGTCGAGCGGACAGTTGAGCATTCTGGCAAACAAGTAGTTGCTGCTTTATTAAAAACCATACATTGGACGAGTCTTTATTGATTTGTAGCCTTCAGCCTTTTTGAGAATTTTTTGTATATTCAGCATTTTGTTAAATTATTCAACCAATTCATTTAGCAATTCATATATTTTTTCTAGTATTATTTACTTGATTTATAACATTTTTCCAATTTTTAGTTTTTTTTTTATTTTATCTTTATTATTAATATACTCGTATTGTTCACATTACATTTTCAGAATTTAAATCACTATTGTTTTTTTTTTCACAAAACAATAAGATCAATTACATACATGCAGTTATTATCTTCCAGCAAAATCATTCTTTCCGTTATACAATAATATAATTGATTTTATTTTCGCGATTTATTGCTTCTTTAAACTTGAAATATTACGAAAATACTATTTTGTATAAGTAATACAGTCGAGCGTATAAGTAATACAATTTTGTATAAGTAGGTAATACAAATCAGAGAAACGAAGATAAGAAAAAAACGATTTAATCAGTATTAAAGTAAGTTGTTCCTTCAGCGAACTCCTCAATTATTCTTATCTAAGATTTACACTATATTTTACGCTAGCGCGTGATTCAAACGAACTCGAACGTCCCGACCGATAAGACTCGCGCGCGAGCGTGCGCACGAATTCTTCCCGCGCGCGAAGTCACGGCGATGCATTATTAAAGCCGCATCCGGTCCCGGTGCACCCCAGATCGATGGTGTCGGTACCGCGAACGGTCCACGATTTGCTCGCGCCGCGCCGGCTCGTTCGTCTGTCCGTCCGTCTGTCTGTCCAGGAAATTGGGTTTGGAGATTTCGTTCAGATTGCGGCGCACGTCCTATCTCTTGCATGCGGAAACACGCCCCCGTCGCTGCGACGGCACACAGGTACAAAAACAGACACGCGCCTTTTTTTTGTTTCTGTCCCCCCCCC